TTAAAACATTGTTTTTGGAGCGGCACTTGTGGTTGATGTAAAAAACGTAGGACTTATCTTTTTCTGTTTTCACTGGGGCACTGAGCACGGTGCTGAACAGGACTGTTTCTCATGTTTTGCAGTGTGTGCGGTATTGGAAGAGAAAAATCTGGAAAGGGGCTCAGGTTAGGATGAATAGTCACATTCTGGTTGTGGTGACTTTGTTTTTTCCCTGTTGCAAATGCTAATTTGTGATTTTTGGCTTGTTTTAGTCCTCCATTTTGTTGGGATTCATACTCTATTTTGTAGTTCGTATATTTACTCAGATGGCATTGAAAAATACACTTTGAGTAACTTCAGCTGATAACAGTGTTTTTCTGTAACTCCACTTTGGACTTAGGTCCTTCCCCTCTGTGTTCAGAGTACTTTGCTTATTACTAATCTGTACTAACTTCTGGTGAATATCTAAAAGAAATTTAAAAAATGGGTAAGTAGAAATTTGTTTTTTAATTCCTTCATTAGAATGGGATGTCGCAAGTTTTGATCATTACACGATAATAGTAAAGTGCCTGCAGGTCCTGTCCCTAATACTCTCTGAACCTCATTAATATTGAATTCCTACCTAAGTTGTTGCCTTTGGATATTTATGGGATGACAGCGATGATTATAAAATGATATTCAAGGAGATTAAGTATCATGTTTAAACAATAGTGCTGCATTGAGATGTGTTATGTGCAACTTCGAACTGTTGGCCTAAAAAGTATTTAATTACAGTAAATATTTCTCTACCTGTTGTTAGTTCAAATATAAAGTAATCAAAATCATTATTTTCTAGGTATATGTTGTTTTAGTAGGATTGGAGTGTTGTTTTCAGGGGCGACGTGTAGGGGGTGCATGTGGTGGTGCACCCCCTGCAAAAAGCTCGCCACCTGACTGCCAACCCGCCAGTGGTGGCGCAGCTCGTCGCTCTGCCACCCACATTGCCAGCAGCGCCTGTGGGTGGTCGTGGACGTCTGGTTGGTGCTTACCAGCCCCCGCCGTTGACAGTGCTGGCAGCATCTGCAGGAGCTCCCAGCTTACTGCTGCCAGGCTCCCGCTGCCACCAGCACAGCCGTGCTCCCCCAGCCATCGGGGTCATGCACCGTTCATGGTTTTTAACGTCCCTTGTTGTTTTATGCGATTTTTCAATAATTTGGTATTGGAAAGGGCTTCTATAGTTGCAGGTCATTAAAACATTATAAAACTATTTTTATATTAAATATTTAAGAAACTTTTGTAGTAGCACCCAGTGGCCCAAAACAGGCCTGGGGCCCTATTGGGATATGCACCAAATGAATGTAGAGATTGGCACAGTCTTTTCCATTTTAGAGAGCTTAATATTTAAAAAAAAGTATGAAGATAATATCATATATATATTTTTAGATGAGAAAATAAGGTTCAGTTTCTCTCCAAATACTATAGAAATATTTAGTTACATTACTTTGGCGATCTGGTAGCTGTTCTTGGAGCATAAGCTGGTCATTTTTTAATGAAAACTGCTGTGGTGTGTTTTCTGCAATCCATCACGATTAAGAAGCACACAGCTTGGATAGATATCATCTCTTGTGATCATTGATCTCGTTGCACTTGATCCTTTGTACATTGAAGCCAGTGGCGAAGTTTCCATTAACCTTTAATGGTGCAGGATTGGAGCCATAATTCCGATACAGGAAGTCTAGACTTGCATTCTGTGAAAATGTAGTTTCAGCAGCTGTATTTGTTGGCCTAACCGTAAATACATTTTGTGCGCCAAGGTATGTATTTGTATACGAATTCCAAACCACGAAAACATATTAACTTAGGTGGAGCATAAAGGGAAACATGCCGTTTTTGGGATGTAAACCTTAGTGTTACCTGAATTCTGAGACTGATCTAAGATCAGCAGTTGTTATTGATAGATTGTCAGGGACCATTCAAGGATTATCTTGCCAGTTTCTTTGTTTTGAAATCTTTCAACTTCCAGATCATTCTTAGGAAAGGGCTAGCAGCAGTAAAATCCAAGCCTTTGCCTCATAACTGTACCAGCGGCATATTTACATTAGTCATTGACATGTACTTTCTTTGTCCTACCTCCATTAAGAATACTCTAAGTTTCATTAGAGTAGTGGGATGCTGACAGGATAAGCCAGTCATAAAGCCGTAAGTGCTGGTTTACTGGATGTTGGATTGTAAAGCTAATGAGGGTCTATAGTTTTTCATTAACTTCACCCTTAGTTTAATGCCCTGTGCCTCCTGTATCAACTCCCTTTTCAGTAGCTTCGTGAATGCATCCAGATATGTAACAAAGTGGGCAATTTTAAACTAATTTGAACAGTTTGCTTTACAAATAAATGGGCTGGATTGCTTATCTGAGGAGCAGTACCATAAGTTGGAATGATCAGGCATAGTTATTAACTGTTGTATGATCTCTAAGCATTTGTTTTCCTTTGGTATTTCTAGATTTAGTTCACAGTGAACTCAGGCAAAGCACATGTATGTTCCCATGGTACAATAAACAAAATGATAAACTATTCACATTGTAATTCAAAAACTTGATCAAAGAAAATCTTTCCACAGCTTTGCATTTTATTTGTGCCATAGGTTTTCCATAGTGGAATCAAATGCCACTTTTGCTTTATATGAAAGAAGAGTCCTTGTCTCAAGTGAGAAATATATAGTTAATACTTAGTCATTTTTTAAATAGTTTCAAATTGCTACTTGATAACTGGTGCAGGTGTAGGTGTGATAACTTGGCCCAAGCTGTGAACACTTACTAAAGTGTAGGGTTTAAATCAGCCTGAGGACCTGGCAGGGTTCCTGTATTTCAGTGTACTTTGACTGTTTGTTCAATTTAGTTTCTGTGCCTCCACCTAAGAGTTCACAGGCAGCTGCAGCAATCATTTTTTTTAAATGTGAAGCTGAGCATACTTAGAACCCCTCAGTATTTTAACAAGGTGTAAAAGTTACTGCATGAAAGGTATGTCCTTTTCGTCTGTGACCTGAAGAAGAATGCATTGCATTCAAAAGCTTGTCTAAGTCTGTCCCACTAATACAGTTGGTATCATAGATATCACCCACAAAAATCCTGGCCTCTCACATGTCCCTTTGAAACGTTTATATTTTTATTAGGGCTGTGTGAAGCCTTGGTCCCTGATTTGATTTGGTAGAAATTCGGCCTGATTCGGTGGCCAAATCTCTGAATCAAATCAAAGGACCCTTTAATCCCTCTGAATCAATTTGGGGAGATTTGGAAAGATTCGCAGATTCAGATATGGAGACATCTTTAAATGCTTTTTCTACATGCCTCTAAGTAGCAGGGGCTCGTGATTGCTGCGATGCTGGGGCGCATGGAGTGTCCCCAGTACACTCGGCAGCAGACCTGGACGTGAACCAGAAGCACTTCCGGTCTGCTTCCAGGGCTGCCGGGAAAGCGTGCTGGGGGAGCCCCCTGCACCCTCCTAGTTTGGTGACTGGTGCCTCCTGGGTCTGGGGGAGCACCCAGGGTACCCCCATGGCCATTCACTGGGGCGTGGGGGTGCCCATGGAAGTATTTCCAGTCCACTTCCGGGTTCACTGCCGAGCATGTGGAGGGTCCCCTTGCACTCCTGTGGGACGTTCCATGCACCCCAGCATTGCAGCGTTCATGAGCTGCGCTGCTACCTCGAGGTATGTAGAAAAAACTTTTAAAGCTGTGTCTATATCTGAATCGCTGGTTCTCCGGATTGGCATCAAATCTTCAGATTCAGATTTGGCCGAATCGAATTGGGGGCAGTGGTCTTTATCAACTAATTGAATCGCTGTTCCTGATTCGGGCCGCATTTGAATCAAATTGGGCCCTCTTCACACACCTCTACTTTTTATATTCATATGTGTTCTGAAAGGACCTTTCATCATGACATAATTCTCTTTGTAACACCAAACTTTTTGAATTTCTTGAGTGACTCTGTTTGAAATTTGGTAGTTAGTAAGCTTAATTTTGCCTTTTTAATTTATTCAGAACTGGCCAAGCAAAAATATTCCAAATGCTAGCATGGAGAAGAGTCTTGCTAAAATCAAATGTTAAATTTTAGGGTGCAAGGAGACTTGAAGTTGTTATAAGCAATTAATTCATTTTAAATTTGTACTTACTTTCATAGCCAACATAAATTTTCATGGAAATGAGAGTAGACTTCAGTCTGTGGAATAGTTCATCTGCTAATAATTGTCCATATTTAAGATGGAGAATTACTTTTGTTTTTACAGGTCTTTAGATTTTAATGCTTGTAAACAATACATAAAAGAAAGAAGAGTGTGTTTTTAGGGTTTTTTTTTAAAAAGGCTGTGAAGGTACGGAGCTGGTTAAACTGGATTAGTAACCTTGATCACTGTTTCTTTACATAACATTCCTCCATACTCTGAGTTGTCCAAAGGTACTCTTGTATTTAAAATACCATTTTCCAGAAGGGCAGACAACTAACCTTGTTCTATCTTACCTATCACCTGGAAGATGATAGGCCACTGATGAACCTGAATGCTTTCTTGCCCCATTTTCTATTTGAGTTTTAATACTGGGAGCAGAAGTTTTCTTTTCCTTGTTATCTCTTATGCAGACTTTGGAAAATAGCTGTTTTCTCCCACAAACCTCATTGCTGTAAGAGCATGAACATTTGCTTGTTTTGTTGTCCTTCGGCTCTAGCTGCCATGAGGTATGACTCTACTTGTTCAGCCCTTCACTCATTTTCAACTTCGGGTTGTCAGTCCTTATGAATAACAGCAGTGTTTGCCTCTGCTGCTCGTCTCCCAGCCAAATAAAATTTGCATTATATTCATGGGTTTAACTCTCTCTTCACATTGAAGCTAACAGTCTGCAGGTGCTTGGGAAAACTATTTCCTGCGTGTGCTTGTTCAACAGTAAACTTGCACTCCTGATTTTAAAGTAGTCATTCAGAGACCTACATCCCATTTCTTTTGTGTTTTTTATTTACATTTTCTCTTTTTCCTCCCTCCCTCCCCCGTTTTCCTAGATTTGTTTGTAAATGCATCACAAACAGGCAGCCCAGAATGAAGAAAGCAAGCAGGAGTGTTGGCTCAGTGCCCAAAGTGCCCGGAATAAATAAAACTCAAACAGTTGAAAAAGTGAAACCAGAAAACGGCTCCTCAGTGTCTGCAGTAACAAAAATCTCAAAAACTGGGACATCAGCCTCTCTGTTGAAGGTAATGTTTAGCAGAGTGCTTTGATTTCTTTGGACAATAAAGGATTTAGAAGTCTAGGATTTTAATATGAAATGTGAAGGAGGGAAGAAGTGAGATCCGCAATCCCTGAATGATAGAAAAGGAATTTAGGTAGTTACACAGGAGACAACAGCAGGTTACAAATATGGTATTCATTAAATTTTGCTTCTCCTAAAATACTAGGGTGGAAGGCAACACATCTTGTGTAGCTCAGTTTTTTACTGCTCTGCGAATGGTGCTTTCCAGTGAACACCATTAATCACACTTAGCCAGACGACGCCATATGCTGCCCTTGAATTACCTCCTCTGGCCTGACTTGAATAGCAGAGGTGGCATCTGATAGGAACTGTGTTCTGCATGTAAAGTTCCGCTTCCTGTTTTTCAAGACAGATACTTGATACTTAATTGAGGAGGCTGCCTTTGTGGTGTTCTCTAACATTGGTGACCAATGTCAGACTTAAGTGGCCACATTATCCTTGCAGTCTTTTCCATGCCCTTCTCATGTTGTGTAAAGAGTAGAACTCTAGCTCAACATGTATGTGCTCCTCTGAGGTACTGGATCCAAGTTAAAAAGTCAGAAGTTTCTCCCTGAATATTAGCAAACAGGGCAACAAGTCTTCAAACACATGAGCACATCCCAGGGCATCTGCTATTCAAACGGTTTAATACTGGGAGTTGCAGTCACTGAACAGAGGGCAAGCAGGTGACATTCAAGTCAGATATTTTCCCTGATTGTCATAAGAGGGGCCTCTCCATAATTGCTATAATTATTTGGCCCTTTTTGCTTACAGGTTTCCCTCATCAACCATGGCGGTTAGGTTCCTGAACGTTCCCATGGCTGGCAAAATTTGGCAGGGCTGGAGGAGCAGGGGCTGTGGGTGTGGGTGAGGGGCACCAGCAAGGCTGTGGGGGCTGTAGCAGGGAGTGGGGAGGAAGGGGCATGAGCAGGGCCAGGAGGGTCATGGCGGGTATTTTCAGACTGTACCCCTGCCTTCTCTGAAGTGTGGATACCCAGAACTGTGGTTGATAAAACCGTGGTTGGCAAGGGAAACCTGTACACGGTTTTCTCTTTTAACAGCAGCAGTTCTGGTAGTGCTGAGTGTAGAAGTAGAATATAATGGCAATTATATGCATTTTAGGCATGGTAAGAAAGTTCTTAAATAGCAACTAAGTGTCGTTGCAACTTCGTTATAGCTAGGTTTTAGCTACATCATCCTATAACCCACAGGGAATTATTGCCAAGCCAGTTGTGTGTCAGGTGTTTCCATCTGTAGCAGTTAAAAGGCTATAGTTTGTACATTTACTAGTACAGTACTGACAATTTACATCTACATTTATTGGTTTGAGAGACAATAATCAATTGTGCTGTTTTAAAAGAAATGTTTTTATGTCCTTTTTTTTTTTAGTGATTTTTCTATGAAGTCTCTGGCATGTTGCCCTCTCCGATTTTGTTGTTTGAACTGATAAGTTTATGGAAGGATGGCATAATAGGATAAGGAATGTTGGTGTTTATAATATGTATGAATCCTGTATTTGCATTCTTCTACTGGGGCACAGGGGAAACTCAGTGTGGTAGGTATTGGATAATCCTGTGCTTCAAGGCTTTTGCTGGTTGCCTGCAAGGGGACAGGAAGGATTTTTTTTTTCCTCAGAAATGTTGCTGGCTTTTGGGGGCTTCCCTTCCTGCCCCTCCCTTTGGAAGACTTGAGGTATTGGCCACAGATAAGGCTGGAATTTGACTAGTGTGCACTGATAGTGTCTGCTTGCCAGCGCTCAGAAAACTCTGAGGTTCCTGGCTGAATAGTCTTGCTTTTCTGTTCAAGGTTGAACTGTTCATCAGATTGGAGTCAGGAAGGACTCCAGTCCTTCCCCCAGGTCAGATTTGTAAGCGCTATGCATGTTTTGCCTTCCTCTGTAGTTTGGGCATGGTCCTTTTTGGAGGATCTTCTGAGCATACATTAGCCAACTACTTCCCTGTCACTGTGATCACTGCCACCATCTCTTCTGCTTTTACCCACAACATATTATAGTGTCCATGGTGTTTTGGGTATTGTGCCCTGTAGTTGCACATGGGAGTTTGAAGAGACAATTTTGAAGATTCCTTTTGAGTAAATGATTATGCGCAAGCAAAGGAGATTGGACATAATGGACAGGAGACCAGTTCCAGTTCTTTGTTTCAGAAACTGTCTTCTTGAACTTTAAAGTTCTGTTGTAAAACAACAAATGTATTAATTGTATCATGTATATTGCTGGGCAGAAAGTACATATAGAGCTAAGATTGAGAGCATATCTATAATTTAGACTAGAATATATTACTCAGATATGATAATTATTCTCAAAACAAGCCTTTATATGGACCAAGGAAATTCTGAGTTCAACCTAAATTATAAGATGGCACTGTTCTGCTTTTGCCTATACAAAAAATTAATGCAAACCTAGTAAAGAATGGAAATGCACAAAGCACTGTAACAACCTTGATTCTAACCTGTAGTGACAACATGCAGTTAACCATAAAATTGTGATTTGTTTCCTTTTAAACCCTTCTGAAATATCACTACAGGCCAGTGTTAAGGTTGTCTTTAAATGCAGCTATGCCCTTTTTCCATAGAACCTTTGCCATATTTGTTGCAGAATTTGGAGGGTATGTAGTGAGTGAGGTGGGACTTGGGGGAAGAGACAGTTAGTTTAGACAGTTGAATGCCGTCCCAGCCATACTGCGTGCATCTACACTTGAGTTTTACTGTGCATTAGATTAATTTAATATGCAGTAAAGCATCACCATCTATGTGTGCCACAATTAGTACACAATAGATTAATATGCTGTGGTGTGGGATAGTCTCATCAGACACGGGTACTATCCTACATCATAGTAAATTACTGCACTTAAATACATGCGTAGACAGTGATGATGGGATTAGTTTACTATGGCTCAATTTGAGCTGGAGTATATTCAGTTGCATTACTTGCACATGTAGATGAGCCCACTCTTCCTTTTTCTGCCACAGAGTAGCTGAGGCTGAGGAAGTCTGTTGTCATTGGTGGCCACCACTTCTCTACTTTTTTGGGAGCGGGGAAGATTCTAGGTTTGGACATTTGTGGTCTTATTTGCAGAGAGCACTGAGAGTGGTTGCTGTACTGAATATAAACCAACCAGAAAACTGAGCACCAGCTGTTTTTGCTCTCTTAATGTTCTGTAAGTTTTACAAGACATTCTCAGCAAAATTAACCTCTAAAAACTGCCACATTCTCTGAAAAATAGGACTTGAGCATCTTAGGCTGGACACTCAGGATTACGGTATGCCTCACATAGGCCTTAGTTCCATCAGTAAAATGAGAATAATGCTGCTACTTACCACAGGCTTGCTGCAGAGATTCGTATGAAATATTCAGCTGCTAAAATGATAAGCGCCATAGAAAATCCAATATAGAAATCAATATTTCTGTATTCAAAGTAGAAGTTGAATGATGTGTAGCAAATAACATATGGAACAGTACATTGAACAATGAGGGTAAAATTAAATATTGTATAATTGCTCATTCAGTGAGCACTGCCATAGTATGCCATATCCTGTCCATAGTATGCCATATCCTGTCCATAGTATGATATAAGGGGTTGCTGCAGAAAAAATGGAATGTGTTCATGTAATAGTTTTGTGTTGCCAGTGGATACAGGGTACAAAATATGGCTGCACAAATTTCCTTCATTTTCAGTGCTTGACTTCACATATAGAAAAGCTACCTAAAAATGCAGTATACTTAGGCTAAATAAAGCAATTATAGTATGTGCAGGATCTGAGGGAACTGTCTCTATTTTTATTTACCCACTGGAATTAACTGGTTCCTTCAGAGATCAACCCAGCTATCAACTTACAAATTTCAATGAGTATGTCATATAAATGTCCTTGTTTTTCATGCAATGTTCCTTCCTTTAAAAAGAAAAAGAAGGGAGCAGGGGGGAGAGAGAGAGGGAATGAGATTGCTACAAGTATTGTTAAACCAAGAGAAAAACTAACCATTGGCCAATTCTGTTTTTTAATCTTATGAAATAGTTTCACAAGATGGCATCCTAAGCCAAAATTACAGTATTTAATGACTTCCAAGTTAGAATAGAAGCAGTTTGTGGGCAAAGCAGAAGAGGGATGGCTGTCTTGAGTTCTTTTGTTTTTCTAAGGCTTTGCATGACTAATATTATCATAACTAGCTGAAACCCACAAAACATTTGTGATTGATTTTTTTTATTGCAAAAGTATTTCTTTAAATACTGGATTTCTAGTTATACTTTGAATGAATACTGTAATGGAATCAAAACTTCTCACCCGTGAAAGGCATCTTTCTCGCCGCCCTCCTGCTGCCTTCCCCAGGCAGCCAGCCCGTTCCCAGGTAGTTCCAGGCAGCTGGAAGGCAACAGGGATGGTGCCACGAGATCCTGGAAGTCCACCATGCCTGAACTTCCCCAAGCACACCTGGGCTTCCAGTGTCCTGTGCACCATTGGATCCGGCAGGTGCTGTCTATGAGCTGGGGCTGCACCCGCACAGCTAGGACCCCTCCTGCTAGAGTGGACAGGCTCCAGGGTGGTGGGGGGAGCTGCCAGCGGATCCTGAGCTGTGGGGGACCCAGGTACTTCCCTCTACAGAGGCAGTGCCCCCTGGGTAGCACCCACCGTTTGGCATCCCACTCAGGCAGTCCTGGGGGGCACTGTTGCTGTGAAGGGATGCATTGGGGCCTTCTGCAGCTCAGGGCCCACCGGCAGCTCACCTTCCCACCCCCCCCACCCTCAGCTGCAGGAAAGGTGGGCAGGCTCTTCAGGAAGAAAAAAAAAAAGGATCGGGCCCCTCGCTGCTTTTTTTTCTCCTTCGGTGGAGCCTGCTGTGCTTGTCCAGAGCGCTCTGATTGGCTGTTTCAGTAAGCATTGTGATTGGCTGCCAAGATAACCAATCAGAGTGCTCTGGACAGACAGAATAAGCCTATTATTATTATAGATATGTCTGTTTTGCTTACCGCAGAGCTGGGTTTTTTTTTTTCCATCCAAGCTGAATCACACCATGGGGGTAGAGTTCTCACACCTTGACCTATTTGGTTCAGTAGCATGGGGTTATACCATTCGTATAAATAGTTATAATTGACTTAATTTACTTGTCCTTTTAACAAGACGGAAGTGTGGAGAACTGGCAGTCTGTTTGAACCGTCATATTTCGCTGCACAATTTCACTGTCAGTTTTGGTAAGAAAATATCAAAAGATGAGTAACTTGTTCATGTGTCTTTGTAAATTATTTTATTTTGTGGGAGTAGTATTGTGTGGGGTTATTCTGAAGTAGATTAGACATGAAGTCTTGGAGCTGGTATGCTACAATTTGATATTTTTTTTTAGTTAAAGTTTATATCTGAAGGAGCTTTTGGATGCAGTCAGCTTTTCCTGACAGTGTTTCAGAACTGCATACTTGTTATGCTCTTCATGATCCTCATATCATAATCTCCTCCTTCATTAGTAAATGGAAGCATTTCTCATGAAATGTCTCATGAAATAGTCATGGAGAAGTGAGAAAAAAGTAAGGTTTTCTTCCCATTCTAACACTTTTTAGACTTGATTGCTTTACTTCTGCTGTGCTTTTAGGAGCCCTTTTAGAATGTCAGGATGTTCCTGTCTTGATTCAGGGATAAACTGCATACATTAATTGTAGAAGATTTTATACCTTCTCTCCTCTGTCATCACGTACAACAAGCACAACACTATATATTTCTTCTGAGCTCAATTTCGTTTTTATAACTAGTTTTCTAAGTAAAAAGCATAACTCGTATAAACCTTTGACCATTCCCAAGATCCATTACAGGTGACCACCATTACTGTGAAACTGTTGAAGGGGAAAAAGCATGGAATAATAAAGACTCTGGGGGACAGGCTGACTTTTAACTAAAACTACATGCATGCCTTTTTTCTTTAAACAAAAAGCACATCCTTGGTTTCGAATATAAAAGATTATAAAAATTAACATATTTACTTCCAACTTTAAATGGTGATGATTTGATGATTCTGGTCCTCCACTACTTACCTAGTCTTACTTATGCCTTTTTTTTGCTTCCAGACAAAAAGTAATGATGACCTTTTAGCTGGGATGGCTGGTGGTGGGGTGACTGTGACCAATGGTGTGAAAGCAAAGAAGAGCACCTGCACATCTACAGTGCCTTCAGCTTCAGGGACCACCATGAATAATCTGGAGAATAAACCCAAGACTATTACAGGTAAAAAGAAATACTGACCTTTATGGATTGTTTTCTTGGTTTTAGTTTCTTCTGATATGAAAATATTGAAAGAACTTTTGTGTAGAGAGAGTACAATATGGTCAACAATGCCAAAGCCAAATAAAAGACACCCTGCATTTTGCTCATAACTCTGGTTATCTGTTTATATGAATACTGTATTTTCTTGCCTACACCGTGCCCCAAATAAAACATGCACCGTGTTCTTGAAGGCAATTTTTTTTTAATTTTTACAGAATCATGGCTGGCTGTGGCAGAGTAAGTCTTCTTGGAAACCTAAAGTGTTCAGAAAGTGTGACACCAGGAAGTTCCTGGTGTCTGCTGCCTGATTCAAACTGTTTCCTAGAATGTCATGCTTGCTGGATACTCTGTGCTTCCTGGAGGACTTACTGTGTCACACATGGTTATTCCCTGGGCTTTTACAAGGGCAGTAGCAAGACTGTCAGTTCTTTATTATAAGTAGTTATTTATATACTTTCTTTTAAATGAAGTATTTTTGTATTGCACAAGCCTCATTGAGATACTACAGGTAGCTCACTTGTTGCTTCATGTACAAGCTACAGTGCTCAGTCAGTAGTTATGGCTGTGAAAGTGTTAACACAAGAGTCTGGCATATTGGCCAGCTGCAAGACTTTCCAGCGAAGAAAACAGCTTCCCTGCTTAAAACATGCATCCCAGTTTTGGGGGGCAAAGGTGCTTGTATTATTTGAGAAAACATGGCAACAATTTAATCTGTACATATACCTGCTTTTTTAGGTCTAGTAAATGATTTTGTTCATGTTGATAGTCTCTGGAGGAAGCTGCCAATGTAGACATGTGCTGCTAAAAATATCCACTTCAGGAGGCATTAAGGAGTGAATGTCTTTAGTAAAACATTGTGTAGGGCTGTAGCATTGCCTGTTTCTGCATGGGAAGGAGTGAAGTTCTTTAACATTTATCAGAACCAGTGGAAATATATCTACTGGTATTCTTTGGGTTCTATATAGTTTACAAAAATGCAGGTCTGCTTGCAGTTAGGCAGTGATAATATGGCTCTCTACTTCAACATTTTCTGATGAGTGAGAATATTTAAGTACTCAGATGCATTTCATTCTTGGGGATCCAAATATACAAGTACTCAAATTAATACTTTTCCCTTAAGGAAAAGTGTGATGTCAGTCTATGTATATTTAGTCCTTTTCGGTACAGTTTATTAGTAACTTGGAGATTTGGTCTTTTGCCTGTTGCAAGCACTGTGTTCCAATTTTGATTTTGAAAGGGCATGTTAAAGTACTGACAGGAGCAGCTAATGATGATTTAAAAATACAGTTGCCTAGATTTCTGAGTCATTCAGGGGAGTTTGAACATTATGAATGGTGTGAATGTTATTATTCAGGTTCAGGTGTGTAGCTTGGCAACATACATAGTTTAATATGGTTTTTTTTTTTTTTTACTTTTTTTGGTTAAATTAATATTCTTAATTTTTTAAATGTGTAGGTACAACTTCTACAACCAAGCGTAGCACTTCATCTGGAACTAAGGAATCTAGCTCTTCTAGAGAGAGAATACGTGATCGTTCCCGTCTAAACCAGAGCAAGAAGCTGCCTTTAATGGGGCAGGGGTCTAATGATACAGTACTGGCAAAACGCTCACGAAGTCGTACTAATCCAGAATCTGATGTTCGTATGAGCAAGTCAAAGTCGGACAATCAGATCAGTGACAAAGCTGCTTTAGAAGCTAAAGTGAAAGATCTTTTGACTTTAGCAAAAACTAAAGATGTAGAGATTTTACACTTAAAGAATGAGCTCAGAGATATGCGTGCTCAACTGGGCCTTAATGAAGATCAGTGTGAGAGTGATGAAAAGACTGAGGAAAAAGAGGCCATTGTTGTTCACCAGCCAACTGATGTAGAGTCTACATTGCTACAGTTACAAGAACAAAACACTGCCATCCGAGAAGAGCTCAATCAGTTGAAGAATGAGAATCGAATGCTAAAGGACCGATTAAATGCTTTGGGCTTTTCTTTGGAGCAAAGGCTGGATAACTCTGAAAAACTTTTTGGTTACCCTTCTTTGAGCCCAGAAATTGCAACTAGTAACCACAGCGATGGCGGTGGTACTCTTACATCTTCAGTGGAAGGTTCTGCTCCTGGATCAATGGAAGACTTGTTGAGTCAGGATGAAAACACTTTGATGGATAATCAACACAGTAACTCCATGGATAACTTAGACAGTGAATGCAGTGAAGTGTATCAGCCACTTACATCAAGTGATGATGCCTTAGATGCTCCCTCATCTTCAGAGTCTGAAGGTGTGCCAAGCACAGAAAGGTCTAGGAAAGGAAGTAGTGGTAATGCCAGTGAAGTGTCTGTAGCTTGTCTAACAGAACGAATACACCAGATGGAAGAGAACCAACATAGTACAGCTGAGGAACTTCAAGCAACTCTTCAGGAGCTTGCAGATTTACAACAAATAACTCAAGAACTGAATAGTGAAAATGAAAGACTCGGAGAAGAAAAGGTAATCCTTATGGAGTCCTTATGCCAACAGAGTGACAAGCTAGAGCACTTCAGTCGACAGATTGAGTATTTTCGTTCCCTCTTAGATGAACACCACATCTCTTACGTTATTGATGAAGATATGAAGAGTGGACGCTACATGGAGTTAGAGCAACGTTACATGGACCTTGCAGAGAATGCCCGTTTTGAACGAGAGCAACTGCTGGGTGTTCAGCAGCATCTGAGCAACACTCTCAAGATGGCAGAACAAGATAATAAAGAGGCCCAAGAAATGATAGGTGCGTTGAAGGAACGCAACCACCACATGGAACGAATTGTTGAGTCAGAGCAAAAAACAAAGACTGCACTAGCAGCCAACTTGGATGAGTATAAAGCTACAGTAGCCAGTGATCAGATTGAGATGAACAGGCTAAAAGCTCAGTTGGAGCATGAAAAGCAAAAAGTGGCTGAGTTGTACTCCATACACAACTCTGGGGATAAATCGGATATACAAGATTTGCTGGAGAGTGTCAGGCTGGATAAGGAAAAAGCAGAAACCTTGGCCAGTGGTCTACAGGAAGAGCTGGCACACACTCGCAATGATGCCAATCGATTGCAGGATGCTATTGCTAAGGTAGTGGTTTATAAAACTGGTTTTGGGATGCAGTTTTTCAAAGCAGTTGTTTCTCGGGAGAATGTGATACGTTGTAAGTGTTACCAGAATATGCCTACGTTCAAATAGACTGCTTTGTATCTTCCCATTTTCCTGACCTCTCCACTACCCAAAAAAAAGTGTATCCTTTTTTTTAATTAGGTTTTTTTTTACAGATATTGATTAGAGCATAGATAAAAATCAGTATCTTAAATCAAAAGAGTTGCTTTTTTAATTGAAGTAGAATTTTTCTTCAAAAAAAGGAAATCTATTTGACATTACAACAGCTTGCATTAAGGCATAAACTTAGTATAATCTATTAAAATAATATTCAGGTAGTTCATGTTTGTTGCCAAAGTTTTAAAGAATGTTGCACCATTGAATTAGGTGAAGTCATTGGCCAAGGATCTAGAACCAGAGTTTGCTGAAGTAACGTCAGCTTTTCATGGGTGTAGTCCTGTCTGTAGGTGCAGAGGGGGAATACTTTTCTCACTTCAGTTTGTTCAGTTTGGTAACTGGTTCATTTAAAGTTGAAAAAGCAGAAACGCTTATCTTCCTCTTCTGATTTGTGAATAGTAACTCAGTGCGAAGGACATGGTAACCAGAACCAGTTAGCTTGTTTCACTGATGACAGAAAATACTTCCATTGTTCAAAAAATAACTTACGTGTAAGTGGGAACCATTTTTCCACCCACACTTCCTTTTGTATTCAGTAGTGTTAGCGTAATGTTGTAGTTCTGATGGCCAAGGAATTGTGTGAGAGGCAAGGATTTCTTAGGGTAGTATCCAGGGATCCAGGTTTTCCATTTGCTGCAGAAAGACATGGATTTTCTCCGTTAAAAGAGAAAAACCTTGGAAACCATGGGTTTTCCCTTGTGGGCTGCAAGGGGCTGCTTGGGGTTGGGATGCAGGGGGTGCCACATGCATGTGGCAGCTAGGCAGTGTTGTGGAGAGCGGCTTCTGCAGGTCACTCCAGTGAGATCTGTGGGGCTTGGGGGAGGGGCCCACAGGCCATGGGTGAGGTG